GTTCCTAACAGTTTACAGGTTGAAATTTTTTTCATAGAGGTCAGAAATCATCAGCTGACAGTCATAAGAGAGGTCATAGAATGCCTCACAAATGCAGCATGACGAATAGAACAAAATAAAACCCCAAAAAAATAGAACAAATTATTTCATCTTTTGACATGGGAAAGGGCAATCAAAGAAAACCCGAAAAAGAAACTGTGAAAGGGGACAAAGTGAGGCAAGGAAGCACGCGGTAAGTTCCTGTCTTTGGGTTTACGTGAGAGGCACATCTATTTTTAGGAGACTTGAGTGAAATGAAAAGGTTTATTTTTCTTAGACTCAATATACAGTGTTTTTTAATACATATATGACGATATGAAGGTTCAATGGTTTCTTTAAGCAATTTAGTACAATCAAGCGACTCTGATTATTGAAGTATAGGAATCTTTGTGTTCGTTTAATTCAACTTAGATGGTTGTTAATATAAATCTAAGGTTTTCAATGACTTGATAATGAAATTGTGTCATTCATTTGTGTATTATATTTTCTCATGTATGTCATATTTGTGCACCAAAGAATGCATGTCTTAATTTCATACTATAAAATATTAATCTTTTGGGCTTATCTATCTAATACAGCCCTTGTTTTAGCCCCTTCTTTAAAAATTTATTTTTCTGCAAACTCATTTTCAATCAAATATTCTTTCAATAAAATAATTTTATACGTAAATTCAAAACTTTTTTTCTACTTTTTTAACCACACATTAAATTCAAAACTTTTTTCTACTTTTTTAACCACACATTCTCTAAAAAATAAAAAGTATCAAAAAGTGATAACTATAAATGATTTCTCTTATTTAGAAATCAACAAATATGATAGAAAAAAATTGAACACTCAGGGATATTGAGCCCCCCTTTTTTGGGTTAATAGATTTTGGAATAGTAATTTTTTGGTGAATATATAGTTAAAAAGTAAAGAAAATTTTTGAATTTACGTGCAATATTATTTTATAGGAAGAATGCGTTGTTGAAAATGAGTTTTTGAAAAATATGGCTCAAACAAGGGCTGAAAGTCCCAAGACAAATGACGGGGACTTGAAATGGTAATAAGTGTCCACAAGTTTTGAGTTCACAATTTAACAATTAAATAGTCAAACTTTGTTATTTTGGACCAATGACGCTTTAAATATGATGATTTTACATGAAGTTTCCATGACGATGTAATGGAAAGAAGTTTACATGAATTTTGGCTTTGGCATTTTAACAGTAAAATGATTGAAATCGTTATTTTGAATCAATGGCTCTTAAAAACACAAAGATTGTAGACGAAGTTGACAGTAAAAGAATAAATTGAACTATCCTCAACTCGATCCATATTATCCCATTTTCAGTGGTAGGTGCACTCCCATTCTCAATTGTTAGAAAGGCAAGTGGGCACGGTTTCTTGACAAGAAGATAACCATCTAATTTATGGCCTCTAATGATTGAAAGAACCATTGATTTCCATAGAAGATGATTGTTTCGATCCAACTTGATCACAAAAGTCGAGTGTTCCACCAAATGGTGATGAGATTTTGGGGGATTGAACTGGAAAAGTTGAGGAAGACATGGTTTGGGCTTGCGGACGAGAAGTGACGTTTACCTTAGGGGGCTTTATTACCAACTTAACAATAAGAAAAATAGATTGAATAATCATCAACTCAATTAATGAGATGAGTTCACACACACACACACACATATATATATATATGTAAATTTTGAGCATATTTGATGTAAATTTTGTGAAAAATGACATGTTTGGAGAATACGCAGTTAAAAAATTTGAAGAAGTTACGTACAAAATTATTTTATTGAGAGAATATATAGATGAAAAATGAGTTTTAAAGATTATGTACCAAACATGGAGTATATTTCACGTGCTAAGAAAAATAGAAGTTTGTGAACTTCGAAGAAAAAGGCCTTTGAACATTAAAATCCAAATACTAACGAATGACAAAATAGTAAGGTGTTGTGTTACTTTCTGCTCAACGAGGACATTGTGAATTTCAACACAAAAGAAAAATTCATTACATTATTACAAAACTCACAAAAGAAAAATTCATTACATTATTACAAAACTATGTACAATGTAAATGTTTTTAACTATATTTTTAAAAAGAATAAAATTTTTTGACCATTTATAACCGATCATATTCACTAGCCATGTTATTCTCACCCACCCCACCTTAGCTTAACATTTCAAAACTTTTGACAAACTGCCATCCTAAATCTAAAACTTGTGACCCACCACTGTTGACCATCC